GATCTTATGTAACTAATATATTTTTTAACCATGAATAAAAATAAGATACATTTTATGAAATAAAAAATTTGATTGATAACATTTTTTCTTTAAAAACTTATAAGAAAAAATCATTTTCAGAAACGAAAAAGGAAGGAAATAAATTTCAACTAATATTACCTCTTTTACTAACCGATTTTAGATAAAAATGATAATAAATTTAATTTTGGTGAACATTTAATTAATTTAAACTAAATTTTAAAATATTAAAATAGCATTACTTTGAAAGATATTCTGGTCATCTCTTAAAAAAGGTGTCTTAATCGGGTATTGGAATTAAATCTTATTTTCGAATATCTAAAAGTTTTAATAGGTATTATAATTTTCAATTAAGGAAATAGTTTAGGTGAAAAATCTCAGTTTTTTTATGTTTTTCATTAATATTTCTAAATTTAAATATTTCGTACATTATCAAACTTAAAACATTTAATTTACCTTATTTCAAGTAGATTAAAGATTAAATTTTATATTAAAATTGTTTACAATTACAATATTTATCATATTTTCCTTTTTTGTTAACATTTTAGCAGATTAGTTTATCATATACTTTTGCCAATAGTTAAATTTTATTCATAAGGTATTCATAAATAGATTATCCAAATTTATGAAATTGTTATATATCACTTATGTTATCTTTCAACCGATATACAATTTTTGTAAATTATATTAAAAGATTGCATTTTCTTATACACCGTTGAGGTAATGTCCGTGATTGATCAATTTAACGGTTTTAAGGAAAATATAATATATACGTACTTATATTAAAATCAGACCTAATTACTATTGTATATATTATTTACTTTCTATACAGTTAAAATATACAAATCAACACGCAATTTAACTTTATAGAATTAAAATTAAAATATACAAGATTATTATGTTTATCCTATACTATTGAATACCAAATATTAATACAAATCCAATTATATCTTTAGTTTAAAAAATATCATCCGTGCGAAAGCACGGGCCATCCTCTAGTATATAATTAGATTAACCAACGGAAGGGGTTTGTGTGACAATGCCATTGTCATTGACACGAACATAAACCCTATCGCAAACGAAAACAGCCAAGACAATTGCATTTTCAGAAATGATCTTAGCCGTCACTTTTGTGTTCTCTCTATCGATGATCTCTTTTGCTTCTTCTCCTCTTCTCCCAACCAATTCAGGCCATGAGCTCTTCATCCCTTCACCTGCAGTATCTATACATGCATATACACATTGTCACATAATGATATTTTTGTTACTAAATTATGATAATTTGTGATTGATTATTATACCTATGTAATTGTCTTAAAGTATTTGTAAATTATGTGCAACTTTTTTAACAAAACATATATTTGATGTACGTTATAGAAAGTTTAGGAATTATGTCAAAATAAACATAATTCAAAATAAGTCTATAGTACTTTATAAAATTGAAACCCTATCTTGAACATATATAATATATATACTACCTTCGCATATATCCGACATTTTCTCTTCTCTTTTTTTTTTTTTTTTTTTTGATTCTCTCTTCTTCTTTGGGATTGAGGTTATGATTTTATGAAGTTTGTAAGAGAACCCAAATGACTATTTATAGAGAACTTTGTGGTGGCTATCCACTTTCTTTAGGATATGTGTACATAAAAAACATTTAGAAAAAAGAGATATTTGTACGTTTTTGACCCAACGTACTTAATACTTTTCTCATAGATGACAAAGCAATTGAGTTGAATCATTCATTGTCCAAATCAATTATTAAAATCATTTATGAAAATTGACTCTAGTTTGGACAATGAATAATTCTCAATATAGATTTTCATAAATCATTTATGAAAATTGACTAAAACTAGGTAAGATTTGGACAGTGAATGGTTCAACTCAATAGCTTTGTTGGCATCTTCCACGTCAATAACTAGTCATCTACGAAAACTTCTTTATCCTTACCACCAAGCTCCTTCGCCATCTATTGAGACAAAAGAATACAGAGAACTAAGTAAAGACATGCCACAACGAAAGAAGAAATATAAAGAGATGGTGATATGCTTCTCAAGATATATAGATCCGATAAAGGATTAGGAGGTTAGGGAAAAATATATAGTTAGATCTACTTCTCGATAAAAAATAAATTAAATTACATTTCTTTTTTTAGATCAATTTAAGTTACCTTTCTTATTTTCTATTTTATATTAGTTACTTTTTTTAACATCAATTTTTGTTGATACAAATTTTGTATCATTTTAAAAAGTGATCTTATAAAAAAATAACAAATAGATCAATTATCTAAGCGATGTAAATTTATATTTTATATCAATTTTCTTAAAGTGGTATAAACTAATAACAATTAAATCAGTTTTATTTAATTGATGTTAAATTAGTTAATTATAACATCAACTAATATAATTGATATGCTAAGTTGCTTCATTTACAAACAAATAATTTAAAATACTATCACTTACTTTTGTGATATAATTTAAGTGATACAAAATGATTTTTTTTTGTAGTGATAGTATATATTTACTCCTCATATTACTACTATCTCAATCGTTGAACTGAAAAATACCATTTAAATAATATAGGGTAGATCTAAATGTATAATTTTGTGAGAAAACCTTATAATAAAACTAATATGATATAAGATTAAAGATCTAACACTAATCTGATATAAGATTAAAGATGTGTATATATATATCTCATATATAGAATGATCACAAAACATGCAAACAATAAAATAACCACCCAAAAATATCTTACGACCCTTAACATAATAAACGCCTCATATATGCTTTCCTAGATTTACATACATCAACCTCGAAAACCATATAGTATACACCAAAAACGTAATACACATCTATAAGTATATAAAACTTGATAATCATAAGCCAAGTCGCAGCTCCAAATCGATCTCATCTCCTTCAACCACGACATGTTCTCTCCTTGTAGCCATAGAGCCGATTCTCAAGTGTTGGATGTAGTTCGAGGTGGTGGTCGTCGTCCTCATCACGACGGAGTCTACTTGCTCGTAGCCGCCACGATCAGACGCCACGTGGAAACATCTACGAGCTTGTGAGAGTGCCACGTCAGCATCGTTTTGCACCTTGGCTTTGTTGAGACGGTCACGTCGATGGATGTTCATGTGACCACCTAAAGCTTGTGCGTTCGTGAAACCTCTTTTGCAAAAAGTGCACTCGTACATTCGTCTAGTCACGGTGGAGGACGACGACGTATGACGGTGCCGAACGGCTCCGGTGTCGGATGATGTGGACGACGATGATCTCTCACACTCCATATTTATATATATGTTACTTCCACCTATATATCGAGAGATATTTTTGAAGAAACCCTAAAAATAGGACTGACTTTGAGAGAGAAGATGAAAGATGAAATAAGTAGTAGTCAAATGTATAGGGTGCATATAAGGATGGGTTTTTATGATATATGATTAGATATATTTTAACTAATCATACTTTTGTTGTTGTGTGTTTATATGTTTGGAAGACATTATTTGGCATTTTGTTTCATGGTATATATTTTTATCGATATGTTTAAGAAATTATCACCGTGTATTGTGGATTTTGTTTTTGTTCTAATGTATTATTTAGTAGCTAGATTATAATGTAGCTTATGATTAATTATTCACTTGCCAATAATAGCAAGTATATATATAGCTAACTCGAAAGAAGCAAAGGTATATCATACCATTAAGTTTAATTGTATCATCATTTAAATATGCTACCTCCGCTAAGTCTACTTAATCTATAATACAAAATCTAATTTTATGACATGTGATTTACATATCACACAAGTATAATGAAATCATTTTTTTTTTCTTTTAGGTTAAGAAACTAATGTTTGCTTTCTTCTCTCGTTCTCGTAGTTTTGCTTTACGTTAAAAAATTTCCAACTATTATTTTGGTCGGAAATCGATATATTTTCTTGTAGTGTACAATACTCGTATTCAAAACAAGAAAATAAAAAAATGTGAAAGAGGCATAACGAAAGATTTGATTAGAAATCACATAAAAAATGAATTAAGTCAATCTTCGCAGTAATCCAATAAACTGAAATCCAAATAAACCTCAACTAAACTCTTCAATTAGTCCACAAAATTACAAGAAATGATGACAATTAAAAGGCAAAGGGAGTGGTTTAAAATCAATCGTGTTTTGTTTTATTTCTAAACATTCCTTTTGTGTTTGTCTTGTAATAGCCCATCGTTTTGTCGCAATTTGTTCGGCACATAACCAAACTTTAATAGTTTAAACTCTCTCCACTGATCCTGCATGCTTTTTCTACTATACGAAATATATATACACTACAAAGAAACATCAAACATGGTGAAATCCTGTAAAATATTTCACAATTTTTTCTACCATTTTCTTACTATTCTTATACAAAAAAAAGAAATTTCATAGGAATTGGAAGTAAAATTTTAAATCCTAAAAAAATTTGTGGATATTAGAAGAAATTTGATTAAAAAATGCTCTGCGATCAATTTTTACGAAAAAGACACAAATTTATTCATGAAACGGATTATCATATTCAAATGATCAAAAAACGCATTGTTATTTATTTTAAAAGTATATTTAAGATATAAACATTCTAGAACAATAATGAAATATTACATAACTTAACTCTATATAGACTCGATGTACTGAAGTTTAGAGTTGTATTTATTTCCATGTTTTTATCCTTTTCTTTTAGTGATATGTAAAGCAAAATAAAATACTAAACTATAGTTTACGTGCCAAAGAAATACACTAATTTTTTTTTATAATCATAAAAAATATTTATTTTTTAATGGACAGCTCTGCAAAACCAAAGGTGTCATTTGATAGCAACTCGAGTACTTTGATTCGTTTAATTACTGCCACATCATTGGTTGATTACGTTATGCACACAACTAATCTGGTCTCGATCTTTATATTATAAACCTTATGTTGCTCATTGCACCAGTGGTCCAGTGGTAAGATAGTACCCTGCCACGGAACAGTCTCAGGTTCGATACCCGGCTGGTGCAATTTTGTTAAAGCTTTAGTTGTTTTGTTTTTTGGATTTTCTTAATATAGAGAATGCTTAAACAAAATTCTGAATCTGCAAAAACTACTACTCTGTATAGGGCTGGTCATAAAAACCGAACCCAAATACCCAACCCAGAACCCGATCCAAAAAAAACAGGTTCGAGTAGGGTACGGGTATGCCTAAATAATGCTATTGGATTTTATATTGTTACACATGTTGGTTCGGGTTAGGATCAAGGTAATACTCGTTACCTGAACGAATACCCATAAAACCCAAACAATATACAAATATATAAAATATTAACAATATTTAACATTAATATCATATAATTATCCAAAACCATAATTATAATTTTAAATATATCAATTAAATTTATACCTAAATACCCAAAATATTCAAAAGTTATTTATTACATATGTCAAAATTTAGCAAAAATTATTTAAATTTATCCAATTTTTAAAGATTTTTTTGGATACCCGATTGTTTGGATAGTAAACAGGTTCTAAAATTTGTAACCCGAACCCAAAAATACCCAAACCAAAACCGAACTGAAAATCTAAAATTACTCATTATGGTATATTTTCCTAAACCCATATAACCCAAACCCGAATTGGTCCTACCTGAACCGACCCGAAAACCCGAATGTCTCAGGTTTATGAAACGATTCAAGAGTTTTGGTGTTTTGTTTCGTCTTGTGCTGCTGAAACAATTGCTAAAAGAGACAGTTTCAATCACATAAGTCGTGTTTAAGAACTAATAATAACTCATTACCAGAGATAAGATAAATAACTTGTATCATTATTTACATAAACAAAAAGACAACTAATAATGACTAATACGTCTCTCAAGTCATCGGAACAACATTTTGAGCTCCTCAAGTCTAGCAGATCGGACTTCTTCATCGGTCAAAGCTCCTGCGATCATCCGCTGCTTCCTCGCTTGAACTTGCTGCATCCGTTCCTCCACTGTACCCTATACACAATCATCCAACATAAACCACTATTTTACTTGTATAAGAGATACTTCTTACGGTGCTTAGAGACTTGAAAACATTTCAGTTTATATGGTTGTTGTTACCTTGACAATGAATCTTCTGACGCAAACTGTTCGTTTCTGCCCGATTCGATGAATTCTCATGATTGCTTGCTCTTCCACCGCTGGATTCCACCATGGATCCTAAGAGTTTCAAGAAATATAACCAAAAGATCAGTTCATCATATCAAGAAGATTTCAAAACAAAGCTTGAAGAGAGATGGTACCATTAAGAAGACACTTGAAGCTGCAGTTAGATTCAAACCAACTCCTCCAGCTTTCAGAGACATAAGCAGAATCTGATACATCACAGAAGCATAATATGTTAAGCTCTCTGTCCGATTTAGACAATAGTTTAAATGTTAGTTAGAAAATTATCCAATCACTTACTGTTTTCTGTTTGGTTTCATTGAACTCTTTCAAAACCTTTTCTCTTCCCTTCTGAGCTAGCTTCCCATCGAATCTAAGAAACTCGAATCCTTTTCTTCGCAGTGGAATCTCCAAAAGATCCAAAAATGAAGTCCACTGGCTAAAGACAATACTCTTCTCGCCTGAACCAGATTTCTTGATTTTCTCTAAGCACTCGAGAAGCTCTGTAACCTTCGAAGACTCCTTCCAGTTTTTTACCACATCAACACGGAATATACTATCCGTCGGGCATGAGATCAGCTCGGTTTTTTTCAGGATTGTCCTGCAAATTGGGCATTGACCACAAGACGAAGACCGCCAGCTAGAAAGGAGACATTCTCGGCACATTCTATGTGCACAAGGTGTGAGAATGGGATCATCTGCAGACTCCAGACAGATTGGACACTCTTGGCTATTTCCATCGCGCAAATCTTGGATTACTCCTTCGATATATGCCCGAGAAGGAGCGTTTTGGGAAACAGAGTCAGAGTTGTTATCAAGAAACCTCCTTCCAAGGCTATCTAAGTCAGCGTACTGTTGTGAATCTGCTCGGCTGTAAATTATCTTCAAGTATTAGAATCCATTACAGAAATAAAAAGAGTCTATTGAATGTATTTTTGCTTTGTACCTCATAACTAGAAAAGGGTGGTTACAACATTGGCGTAGACGGAGGAGGAGCTCGAGGATGTTTGCATAGTTGTGCAGAACTTTTCCTTGTGCCACAAACTGGTCAAATTGGACCTATTTCCAAACAAAGGAGAATGATATACATTTAACAAGACATCATAAATCTTTAAAACAGATTAGAGTATTGTTTAAGCTTCTGACAGACTTTATTGTGCTTAAAGCCTTGAACTATAACACTTACTTTGGATCTCTTGAAAAGAGCGGTATAGAAGTCCCGTTCTGCTTCAGATTGTTCACATTCAATGACTTGGACATCGGTTGGAGGAAGTTCAAGGATTAGACTGAAAGTTTGCAGAAAAAAGAGGAGGGACGTTAAGCATAAGACAAGCAAAGAACAGACAAAAAGAGAAGATTGAAACAGAGTAAAAACATCTACCTTCCTTCTTTGTCCTTTGTTTCCTTTGTTCTTCTCAGCATTAATGGCCTCAGAATTGCCTTGATCAACTTCAGTCCTCGTGGATCACCATTTTCATAAGGCTTCTGAATCAACTTACTCCACCTATAAAGACACACACACATACATGAATGGTTAAGTTAAATCTATAAGCAATATATAGCAACGAATTACATGGTTTATGTGACATCTCGTCATACCAAGCCCAATTGCACCATGGTTCGACATGCAGGAAGCATAGAAGACTGTAAAGATCTTCGAGTTTGTTCTGCATTGAAGAGGTATTGAGTTAGCTAGTGCCAAAAGAGTATGAGCTCATAGTATCTAATTATTAATTCCTTGTATATCTTACTTGTAAGGGAGTCCCAGTGAGACACCATCTGCAATGTGAGGACAGCTCAAATGTAGCTTTAGCAGCTTGAGTTTTCCAAGATTTGATTGTGTGAGCTTCATCAAGAACAATCCTGTACCAATCAATCCTGTGGAAGATACTGTTCACCCTATCCTGCATGTCATGAATCTCAGAATTTTAAGTTCAACTAAACAGGGAAAAGACGCTTTGGAACAAAAAAACTGGCACAGAATACTATTCTAACCTGCTTGTAAGCCGAGGTTAAGACACCATAAGTTGTCAAGACCACGTCATGACACGCTATTTCTTTCGCATCATGTGTCCTGTCCCCTCCATAGTAAACTAATACAGACACGGTGTCAGGCTTTGAATGAGTCTCAAGCTCGTCCTGAAATAAAGTGAAACTCCATGAGACTTTTTTAAAAACTATCAACTCTTTAAACTATCAAAGGATTAAGAAGAAACAGCAATTAAAGCAGTCACCTTCCATTGGCTTAACAATGCCATGGGACAAATAATAAGAGTGCCTCCTTTTGCCTTCACAGATATTATTGCGGTATGACTCTCCTTACTCTTGCGAGTATCTGCATTAACATCTGCTGCCATGTCATCTACATTTTCTGGGTTGCCTCGGCCTGGTCGCGCAAGTATTAGTGCTATTGTCATCACAGTTTTTCCAAGTCCCATGGCATCTGCCAATATCTGCAGACAAAATGTTCAAATTTTAACCAAATCCACAAGTGTAGAATATTTGCCACAAGAGAGGAATACATGTGTTAGGATGAAGATTCAGAGTGATCAAGAAACATACTCCGCCTCTTGCCATCTGTGTTGCTGTTGGAAACTGGATTGTTGCTTCACCACTGAAGATGTTCACATATATCGAAGGCGCCCTCCTGAATAAAATGCATACAAATTATATTAGATCAGATAACATATATGTTTCGCAGTTCATTTTAAATATTTGAGATAGGACATACTCGTCACATATTCGATAAGCCTCCCAGCAAGGATGTAGAGTTTCAGCTGCCTTTTCAACATCAATTCCTTTTTCAGATTCTGACATCCAGTAGAGAGCTTGTTTCTGGTACGGTCTCAGGTTACACGTGAGTGTACTTGGAGCTTCCATTTCCTAAACGATGGAAAGAGAAAATGATATTAATATTATTGTTTTCAAGAGGACAAAAAAAAAATTCTGGTGAATCTTTCACACCTCTAGGTTATATATATCTGCATCGCCAACAATCCGATTCGTAAATGACTCAGGAGCATCTTCTTCATCTTTGTTCTGCTCCAGAGACTGTAAACAACCTTTTCTTCTTTTCCCTATCGCCAACAATGCTGCTCTTTCATCAAAGTCATCCTGACCAATGAAATGCATAGCTTAGTGTTCCACCAAACGAACAAAGAACTTAAAATTCATAACGGCATAATTACGCTACATACATACCTCCAAATTCAGTGAACGCTTACGAGAGTTAAGTTCCTCAGGAGTAAACTCCGCCTGTTTGAAGAAATAAATGAGAAACAGAAAAGTAATGGACTGGAAACATGATTCTAGTAGGCTCACAAAGGTATTGAAACATAGAAATGTGGTATAGACCTTTTGATAAGGTTTAATTGTCAAGTGTTTAAAAAGCTGGAGAAGAGGATGAAGCGTAGAATCAACATTTGGGGAAGAACCAATCCGCCAAGTGGATTTGCTTACATCAGTGAATATCGAGCTGTGAATGTAAAAACTGCAATCCAAAAGCCATGTAAGTTTCCAACAAAACTATCAGTCAAGCATGACAATCAACTAACACAAACAAAAACAATAACTACCTGACATATAACATAATTTCTTGCATCATTGTAAGCATCGTTGGTGCCGCTACACATCTTCCAAGCATTTTGACCTCACCAGATCTCAAAAGGCACACAGCCCAATTAGACCACTCCATCGGAAGCCTACCAATCTAAAGGTTATATAGGCCAAGAAATGCAATCAATTAATAATCCCTTCAACTGATTTGTCATGAAAAAATTTCAGCATTTTACAACATAAAAGATGTCAATTTCTTAAGAAACAGAAACACAAATTTTGCTGAGCATCAAACAGTTGCTAACTATCAAGAACACTAATGGACAAATGAAAGTAAAATAGTATACGGCTTACCTCTCCACATCTTTTGGTAGAGAAACGAACAATATTTGGGATTTTCCAATTGAGAACAGAGGAAAATGTGAAATTCACAATCTCGTTGTCTTCTAATTTCCTTCCTTTGCTTGTAGAAGTAGCCGTAACAAGTGACCTCCCAACCAAATACCAATCTTTCTCCACTGGAAAATCCCCGTCTTCCACGTTCACCTTTCTTGCTTCAACCGGTTCCTTCTTGACATACACCGATTTCTTCTCACCACTAAATTTCATGTCTTTCACTTGCAAACTCAACTTCACAGCTTCCACCTTCATTTCCTCAACAGGTTCCACCTTCACAGGAGCAAAACTCATCTCTTGTTTAACTGCACTATTCAGATTCTCCGATTCCAGATCAATAACTTCAGGGATATCCAACTTCTCCGGTTTCACAACTCGAAGGGGCGTCGGCGCCAGGATACAGCTTCTGAGACCAAATGGAACAGATGGTTCCATCTCCATTTTCCTTCTTTTGGCTGAAGAACCATCCGAATCACCAGACGAAAAGAGATCATTCTCTTTCTCATCTTCCTGCAACAACCCATTAATCTCACTTTTCTCACCTTGTATTACTCCAATCACCTCTTCTTCCAACCTTGTACCTAAATCAGGCTCTTCCTTAACCACGACACTAACAAACTCATAATCAGAACCTCTCGAAACCGTCTCAGCCACAGCTTCCGCTTTCGAATCAACGATCATCTCTTCTCCTTCTTCTTCTTCTCTCTTAACAACACACACTTCAGATTCCACTACCTCTACCTTCACATCACAATCATCACCTAAAGCACTCGAAACAATTTCCACCACAGACTTTTCTATAAACTCAACAATCATCTCTTCTTCTTCTTTATCACTAACCCTATTATCTAAATCCGCCGCCCTAAATGAATCAGACTCTACAGTCTCTTTACCATCACCACTTACCTCGTCTTTCCCCGGTAAAGTCACCACAACACCGAAAGGTTCAGACTTTGAACCAGAAACAGTCTCGGCAATGCTTGTCTCAGCCGATGGAGCTGATATTCGGACACCGGTGGTTGTTCTGACGACAAGAGAGGATCCGTCGACCAAATCTGGAGTGGTTTTACAATCATCGGAACTACTCGAAACAGCTTGTGATTCTGTTATCCGCATCTCCACGTCATCAACGATTGCCATTTGGGAAGAAAGCGAGAAGAGAGTGTAGAGAGAAGGTGGCGAAAATGGTGAAAGAGAGTGGTGGTGGTGAGTGGTGGTGGTGATGGAGGTTTAGGGTTTTAAAATAGGAATTGGGTCTTTTGGGATTCCGATTTTGGCGCGAACTGTAGCGAGTTGGTTTTGGGTAATTAAAGGAAGTGGCGGGGTGAATTTTTTTGGAGGCAAAATTTACTGTAAAAATATCGCCGTTAATTACTTTAATTTATCAAATTACGGTATATTTTGGGATATTTAATTCCCTTGCAGAACATAATTTAATTCTATACATTATTAATGCCATGTTAAACCCCTTATTTATGAACCGCTCTTTACCTTTTTCTTTGTTTTAAATATAAATTAAATTACTTTAATCATATGAACTCCTCTTCAATCTCCCTTTTGGAGATACTCTTTGAAAGTTCGATTTATTATAATAATCAATTTTGGTTTGTAGTTTTTACAGGTTAACTCGTAATATGTAGTTATGTATAAGTTTTTTTTCTTTTTCTAAACTGAAAGTAAAATACAGTACATCAAGTATAAGTTCACTTACACATTCAATCTCTTACAAAAGTTTAAAATGCAAAACTCTATTTATCTTCTTTGAGTCATATTTATGTAAACGCAAACCCGTTCAGTCATATTTGTGTACAATATCATTATATTTTCATTTTTGTAGAGTTAAGATATTAATAATACTTTAAGTTTTTGTAGAGTTTAAGTATTAATATTCTATAAAGCTTAAATAAAATATTCTAGTATTTGAAGCTTTTTAAAGTTTGAATATTTTAAACGTTTTTCAAAAAATATGAAATTTATAATATTTTAAAACTTCTATTTTTTTAATTTTCTTAAATAAAGATTCGGACGAAATCGAATAAAATTTTTAATTTGGATGCCTAAGAAATCAAACTTCAAACTCATTTGTACCTGAGAGGATATTAGTCCTCTTTACAATAGTTTTGAACTATTATCTAAAATTTTCTACCTTTATGTAGATGTTGTATATACATTTTCTTTATTAATTGAGTGATATACGTCCGTTTAAAAAAATTTAAATGCAAATTATGCGGAAAAAATTTGTATTTTTACTATACATATGTTTTACGTAATAATATATTAAAAGAAAATAAGATTATATAAATATATTGGAGAAAGATTCGATTTATTAGAGAGAGATTTTAGGAAATTTTCTTGATATAATAAATTTTTGTTTCCAATTTTGCGATTTGCTTATAATTTAATTACAAAATTTACTTATAAGTTTTGTTATTTATTCAAATGGCAAAGGGTTAACTATGCAAATATTACAAAATAAAAAGTTATAAGCCAAAATAGATTTTATTACAAAAAGTACTTCAAAAATGTTAAAATAGACATATTAAATGAATGAAAAATTGGTAAGTTTTTGTTTATTAAGTCGTGCAATTGATATGTTGGGTAATCCTAATAGTGAGACCAGTGCATGCACTTTTAACATTGACCTTTGCAAAACATTGTATTTACAACAAATCATCAACAATGTGGAATTTTGTCCAGAAAATGCATCCCAACATGAAAATAGCTTTTGATTTCTCAAAACTCTCAAAAGCAGGAGTGGATAGTCATTGTTCCCACCGCGGTGATGAAGTTGTGAAGAGGTAATGCAAAGATCTCGAGGAAGTTATATTATATATCTCTTAGACATTTCAAAATTATCAATTATTAATAAATGCTTTTGATTACAATTTTATCATCATTTACATATCCACTATTACAAAGTAAACAGCTACGCTTACATGACTGATATAGAAGATGTATACACTACTATGAAAAAATAATTCGAAAGGCAACATTTTGCATTTTTATTGCCATTTACTAATGGGTTATTAGACTACAACATCAATGTAAACAATGTAAGTTTAAATTACGAGTTAGAAAAACATACTTAATAGCAACTAGCACCACCAAAAATGAAACTAATAAACTTATTGTACTTTCTTAGGCTTTCCTCTACACAAAACTAAAGATCTTAATTTTCCTTTTTACCAAATATATTATTTTCTGGTTGGTAATCGTTAAACTAGAAATTAATTGCTTCAACTTCTCGTATTAGTTTGATATCAAGTTTTCATGATTCATGGAAGTAGAAGATGGTTAGATATATATATATATATATATTATCAGAATAAAAATAAATAATAATAAAGCTAAACTTTTTCTAAGTCTTATTATAGCAAAAAAAGACTAATATTAACATGAGAGTAAAATAATGTGCATTTTTACTCTCACTATATTATTAATTTTAATAACACATATATTTTTAAAACTCTTAAATAACACAATATATCTTTATATTTATATATGGGGGAATTTCAAAAATACCCATTTTCCAATAACACTTTTTAAAAATACCCTCTTTCTAATTTTATCAAAAAGTCACTATAAAAGTTGAAATTTATCAAAAATATGTGTAAGCTTATATTTATAGACACAAATTATCTCTATGTGTGTAAATTTATAAATATATATTTCATAAGTACCTTTTAAAACCTTTTAAAAATCATTTAAAAACCTTATAAAAACTTTGTAAACCTTTTAAAAACCTTATAAAACCTTATAAAACCTTATAAATGCCGTTTAGAACCTTTTAAAACCTTATAAATATTTGAATTTAGTTACCCAGTAGTAAAGATGATCTTGATGTACCTTAGCAACCATATAAAAGTTTATAATTTTTCATATTTGAAAAATGGTATTTTTGAAAATAGATAGAAAAGAGAGGTATTTTTAAAAAGGGGTACACCAAAAGGGGTATTTCTCAAAAATTCTCTTTATATATTATACCCATTTATTTTATGTTTAGAATTCTTTGATAAAATTATGATTTTAACTAAACAAAAATATATAACACCAAAAATAGAAGAAGAAAAACAAAATTTACATATAACGACTCGAACCGAAATTGATTATTACGATAAACCAACTTAAGACCTAATTGAACTTTCTTAGCTCTCTACTTTGTTCTATGCCCAAACATACCAAGATTTATGGCGAAAAGATTCATCATCTCGAGGGGGCGTATTAGGGATAACAATATCCCGCATTTGAAGTTGAGTAGGATCTTAAATGGTATATATAAGATATGAGTCTTTCCACTTATTGCCAATTAGTTTTAAGTTGGAAGCCCACAATCTAATAATTTCTTGGGGGATCCAATGATTTATACAAAAATATTTCTTCTATTAGTACTTCAAATTATGTTAATCTAATTAAATGAAAGTTGCACAAGAATGACAAGATAGTTAGCATTGACTTAGAGGGATATTGACTGATTAAATCCTATCCACTCTACATATATCTATGCCCAAGTTGTTAATAGAAATCAGATGTTTATTAGAATCTTTGTTGTTACAAAGTCATCTTTGTCTTAGAATATTAGAAACCAAAGCGCGTCTACAAGTATAGTTTTATCTTCTTAGCTTTGAATGTCAAATGTCAAATGTCTCTTACATATATGTCAAACATTATAAGTTAACAAAACAGCATGATACAACAACTTGGTTAATATTCTATAAAACTAAACAAAGAATTATATAGTTCTTGATATATATATAGCTCCACAACCTTCTCCCACAAATCAACCAAAACCAAACACAAATCAAGAACGTTTCATATGTCTTCAAGAAAACCAAAGGCCAAACCGGTTAATCGCCAATCCGTGAGGCATCCGAGTCATAACCATCCATTGCGTGTCTTTAAAGCCAAAGAAGAGGATGAGACCGCATGTTCTGGCTGCGAGCTCGAGCTGATAGGTCAAGCTTTCAAGTGTATAAAGTCAGAATGCGATTACTTCTTGCACAAGTCATGTTTCGACCTTCCTTGTGAGACACGTCACAAGTCTCATAAAGACCACCCTCTGACCTTGCTTCATTCCCCACCAGATGATCGGTCTATCTACACGTGTAATGGTTGTGACCAATACGGATCTGGATTCACTTACCATTGCTCAAACTGCAACTACAATCTTCATGTGGAATGTGCCTTTATCCCTGAAACTATAGACCGTGAAGATCATGAACATCCACTCACTCTTCTTTATTGCACACCGTGTAAAGGTCGTGAAGACACGATCTTTACTTGTAGTGTTTGTGAAGAAACTATTTCAGAAGATCTATGGATGTATTACTGTAAGGAGTGTGACTATGGAACACATGTTCATTCATGTGCGGCATACGAAGATCAAGAATCAAATGGAGAAGAAGAAGTAGATCAAGATGAAGACGAAGAAGAAGAAGAAGAAGAAGCGAGTTCTCCAGCTTCAAGGATGAAGTCAGCGATGAAGGCACGAGACGAGATGGCAGCTATGCAGCTAGAGGCACGTATTGAGAATGATGCAAGGAATGCTGCGCTTGATCTTTGGGATGACCCAAAACGCAGATACTATTGGTGATCAAGAAAGGGATAAATATATATATATATATATATATATATATATATATATATATATATATATTTATGTGTGATTGTTTCTTTCTTTATGCATGGTTTCTGGAATTAAAGAAACAATATTTATATATACTGTATACTCTTTTCTTGTTTGCTTCTTGTTTATTTGTGTGTATTTTGGTGAAGTTGCAATATTAAAAACTATATATAAAATAAAATTAAGCTGGTTTCGATAATATTTCCAGTTACAATCTCTGAAGATAAAAAAAAAGATAATAATAAAAAAAAACTATGAAGATATTTTCTTATATTTTCGTATATTATGTGGTACGGTTTCGGTAATTATGTTAAAATTCAAACCGAACATATTAACCATTTAACCTAGTAGTTTAAGGTTGGGCAAAATACTCAAATTCAAACCAAACCTAATCCAAAATATCCGAATCGAATCCGCTCCGAACATTATAAAATATCCAAACGGATTATAAACTTCTAAACCTAAAAAACTGAATCCAAACTAAACCCAAACCAAAACCGAATAGGTACACGAAATATATGTACAAAAAATAAGTTATATTTAGATTTTTTTTTTTTTTTTTTTTGTCAACACCAAACTTATATAGATTAGCTCAAACAAGCCAATTAGGGGGGTCATTTAGATTTTATGTATTCTTATTATCAAATATCACAATTGTAATTTAATTTTAGTTTAAAATAACTAAAATATCTAATATAACATAAATAACTGAAATATCTTACTTATTTTATCTAACATTAACCATTTTTTTTTTTAAATCTAACCATTTTACTTTGATTTTTTTTTATAATGTACCTAAATATAAACCAAAATAACATAACTGAATTCGATAATATGTTCTATACTCCTTTTTTTCAAAAAAATTGATGTTTTAACTTTTTCACACATACAGTAAAACCTCTATAAATTAATAATGGTGGGACCTTAGAATTTTATTAATTTATAGTGATATTAATTTATCTGTAAATTAATATTTATTATTTTATAGTGTAAATTAATAATTATTAATTTATAGTGGTATTTTCACTCTTAAAGTTTTTTTGAAATTATGAAATGAGATAATTTTACAAACAAGAATATTTTTTATGATTATATAAATTTTTATAGTTTAGAATTGAATTCTATATTTATAAAAAAAAATAACAATGAATTCAAAATATTATAAATAAATTCTTATCTATACAAAGTACATACATGATGACAAAAAAAAAATACAAAGTACATACATAAATTCAAATTTATGATTAATATCCCAATTGTTATCTTTTACCATCCTATAAAACAAACAAAAATGAATATGATGCATATTTATAAATAGAAAACATTAGAAATTTTTTGTTTATTTTATGATAGTATGGAATATATTATAAGATTATAGTTTAAAATATAATAGAAATTTTTTTTATAGATATGAGGTCTAGGAGAAATTCATTTTTAGAATAAACTAAAAACATTTTTCAACATAACTACTTATATCACACACACACTTATATATATATATGTATATATATAGTGATTATTAATTTACGATATTATTGAGACTATATTTACATAGGGATTTCAAAAAAACTTATTATCTTGTTATCTTATTATCTTATCAAATTTGGTTAATTTTTACATTGGCCCGACTTGGTACTAACAAAATTTATTAATTTATAGTGTTTATTAATTTATAAAGTATTAATTTATAGAGGTTTTACTGTATATTAAAATAAAATTAAGTATTTATTTATAATTACTTTTCGTAGAAAAGAAAAATAGAAACTATTAGATAAAAAAAGATGTAAAATAAAATTATTGTTTTACTTTTCTAATCTACAAAATCAATCTTTTAGAAACAACAAAAAATCATAAAACATGAACATTTCTTAACCCGAAATAGAACATGACTGACAATGAAATTTACCAAATTCTCTTAATTTATTATAGTTTTCCCAATAAATTTTAAAAATATAAGATTGGAGGGTCGGCCGAGCGAGCCAACCCTATGGGTAGTTCCAGAAATAATGTCGGCCATATGTCTTGATTCTGCCATACAGCACTCACCCCTTATTAACTCGGGCTGAGCGTGGCATAAATAGCCATCCGACCCTTTTTAATTTCTTATTGACAAAGCACATCTTCTATATATAAGCCCTTCTCTCCCCTCCTCCTCTCTCGTCTTCCCGATGTGGGACAAAAGCAACACTACAACTTCTTATAAGTAATCCAAGTACCGGTTCAATCATTCAAACCGGGTCGAATTGGATCTTGTTCAATTTTAAATATGTGCTATAGATAATTCAAAATTGTATAAATATAGATGAATCATAAAAACATGAATATACATCACATCTGAGAGGAAATTAATTTCTATTATGATAATCATCATATTTTGTTCTGAATTATGACAATAGTATCGGTTTCAATCATTCAGACCGGGTCGAATTGGAGTTTTTTTTTACATTTTTTGGTTCAATTTTAAATATATGTGCTATAGATAATTCAAATATAAGTGTAGGTGGATCATAAGAACATAAATATACATCACATACGAGAGAAAAATAATTTTTGTTATGGTAATTACCATTTTTTTGGTCTGAATTATGACAAAAGTATCGGTTCAACCATTCAGACCGGGTCGAATTGGATTTATTTACAATTGTTTTGTTCAATTTTAAATAATTAAAATATTAATATTGATGAATCTTAAAAACATAACATATGTTAGCAAATTAATTTATATGATGAGAATTATGATTTTTTGGTCTTAATTATGACAATATTACAGAACAAAAGTTATGCTGAGAAAAAAGAAACAGAGTAAGCTTAAGATATCTATATATACTCTAGGGGTTGATGAAGTACATGGCTTGGCTTTCAATGTAGAAAGAGTCTTTGTACTTCTTGTTACTGCCTTTACGAACTCCATTCTCCATCCATTCGGGTCTCTCAATCCAAGCCTCTCTTCCAAAGTCCAGAATTCCCAATATCTGTCTCCACAGTTTTACTTACACCACTTCAGTGCCGTGGCCAAGATCAAGAATAGTTAAATTGCAAAGCAAAAGGCGTGTGTAACGTACCGCTCCTCCTTTCCAAGTTACGAAAGTTGGGTCTGTTCTTGATGGTAGTACCTCCACAGTGTCGATGGCTTCAGTTGGAGGTATTGCGTTGAGAACTCTGCAATGTAAAAGGAGGGAGGGACACAAACATTACTTCAAAATAAAAGATTTTTGTTTGGTTCTGTGTGTGCATCGAAGAACGTTGCGCCTTCTTCTGGATGTTAGAAAACAAACCTTTCTTCCACAGCTGATACAAGACCTTTAGTCAAACCAACACCACCAATCTGAAAAGCCAAAAGAGAGAGGGTTTCATTCAGGTTTTTAACGAAATATATTGCGAAAACTTGAGTGTGTAAAGAAAAGGGTTTTCAGGATTATACCAATTGAATGCTGGCGAAAAGCTTTCGCCTAAGGTCTATGCGTCCTACAAGCCAGAAGAAAGAAAGGAAAAGGTTTATGTTAGGTGTCGATTTATTAAATAAAGCAGGAGAGTGCATCACACAACATATACCAGCAGAGAGGATGCTGCTTGTAATGGCTTCAGCAAGACCAATCTTCTCTTCTTTCTTTGGTTTTGAAGGGGAAACTGCAAAACTATCCCACATTGGTAATCCATTACCACCACCACCACCAAAGTCCATGTTCCATGTGTCCTCCAACATATTTTCATAGTCTTGGAACCTAAAAAATATGCAAATGATTAAAATGATTTCTATCGTTCCAGAACCAAACATACGCAAAAGATAAAAGAAGGTTAACTCTGACCATTCACGTGGTGGCTGGGGAAACACTTCAGGGACCAGAAGGTTAGGATAAAACAGACCCATCGGTGGAACCTGAAAGAGACAAAGGAAAGTTTTTCCAGACCAAGAACATAAGAGAGCATTAACAAAATAATGACTTGATCTTGTTTCCTGTTTACGTTAAGTGAAGTGAGATTTGTTTTGTGCGGCACAGCTGGCATGCCGTCCTCATAAGAATGAACTGTTGCAACAGCGTCCAGTTCTCCTTCCTGTGAATGGGAAAAGTATCTTAGTTTCAATATTCCTTATCAAAAGAACATAATAACGAAGATAATCCAACTAACTCTGATTTCACAATATGACTCCTTAAGTTGATTAAGCATCAGCAAATCGATTGGCTTTCCCAAAACATCTGTGCGGATTTGTGGCCACTTTTGGTAATGCTTCTGAATCCATAGAAGGCATCTACATATATCCTGAAAAATTATATTTAGATGAAGAACTTTTAGTCTACAATGTAGCTCAAGAGAAAATAAAAGGAGAAATGATGCATATTTTCTTACCTCTCCTCCAAAAGGTAAAATCTTTTCAGTATTTGGCAATGAAACTCCATCCTACAAACCAATTACAAAGAACATATATCAAACAGTTATAATAACAGAACGATGTTTTCTCGTATTCTGATAATACCTCGATACAAACAACTGTACTTGTCTGGGCTCCCATATTCACAATACAAGCTGTTGATAAACCATTCCCAAAAACGGCGGCTAGACCTTCTTGGTGGACAACTGCTGACTTAAAGCATAGCCCTCCCAACACAACAGTTAGCGTTTCCTTTATTTCTGATAATACCATGAAGCCAAATCAGAATACTAGTTCACATCGATCAAATCATATTTAGATGAAACTGAAAAAAACAAGCTGCAGAAGGCATAACAAGTTTACCGCGGCTGTCAAATGTTTCGGGGAGAACAAGAACAGCATGAAAAGCGAATCTCTCACGGTGGGAAATACGTATTTTCTCTAATAGAACCCAGTCCAAGATAGCGGTTAAGTCCTCACAAACCTGGATAAAAATAGAAGTACCATATCAATAGGCAAAAAATCACTTTTACAAAGACAGATGGAAGGTATATTGGAACTAACGTACCTGTTGTGCTGAATAATGAGGCGAGACATTGAAGTGACCTCTTCGAATAGGATGGTGTATGCTATACGGCTCCTTTGGCGATATTTTCATAGCTTCTTCACCAAAAATCATCTCCTTGTACTTGTGCTTATTCTCACAAGTCTCAGTAACATCAGGAGCAGCTTCAGTTGCGCTGGCCTCACCTTTATCAGCAGAAGTTTCTGCAAAATTGGTGTATATAAGTAATATAAACATTTGACACCCAGCTTATGTGTATTCAGAGAAATACCATTCCGGTACAATTTACTCAATTGTATGTAGCAGATACAAATTTTGATAATGTCTACTATAGAAAATATCATAGTGTACCAAGCGAGTAAAACAGGGAAGGAAACTGAAGCACAAGAATAATAAAGTAAAAAGACACCTGCTGCGGCCGGAGAAATCTGCTCTTCCTCATACACATCAGTCCAAGTAAAGACAGTATCTTTCTTAGTAATACTCGGTTTATTATTGTACCCATCAATCCTTCCCATCTGCATAAACTTTCAAAGCTTTATAAGCAAAGAACAACCAGTTTTTCACACATTACAAAAATTTCTAAATCAAAACCTCCCTGAAGTAAACAAATACCATATACTATTTGTAACACTTACCATCACCAAACTATCATACTTACCTTGCGTGATGCAGATCCAGAAGAAGAACTTTCATCCAGGTACGGTATCTTCAACAGCGATGCCGCCTTTTCAATAAAAACAAAACCAATCAACACCAAGAACTTATTCTCTACAGACACAAGCAGGCAAAGTTGTTCTTACAGTATTGTAAGCTCTCTCACGGTCAACATGTTGATTCGTTGTAACCTGAGTGTTAATCATCTGGGGATTTATAAAGAACATACACCCCATTACAAAACTTAATCCAAAAGAGAAACCCAAAATTAAAAACCCAAACTTTACAAAAAAAAAAACCTGATCAACAACATTGGGTTTCCCAATTTGTGTATTGTATCTAGCAATACAATTAGGGACATTGATAGGTTTCTCATCCATAGCTAATCCAATTCTCACATTTGCAGAGCCTAATCAAAAAACAAAGCACCACTCGACAAGTTCAATAAACCCTAGAAGGTTAAGTTTAAAACCCTTGATTTCAAAGTGAAGAAGCACGAACCTAAGTTGATGACAACGAGATTTTTTCCTCGTTCTGATAAAATCTGAGTCGGGGCAACAGATTTCAAGTAATCCTGCAACGAGATTTGAGAATTTGGTTGCCATGAGAAAATTGGTGTACCTGGAAAATAAATTGGGGGAAAAAAGATTATACCATTTTGAACTGTAATCTCCTTTGCTTAAGGGTTCTTCGCTGATTGCAATAGTTGGAATTAGGGTTTTGTGATTCATATGACGAAGCTTGATTCAGAGATAGCAAACCTTAAATAGTTTTAAAGAGTGTGGATTTTAGAATTGTGTGAGTTCTGGGAAGATGAAGCAAGAAGTGTCAGCGGGTAACAGTTTTTTTTTTAAACTGAGCAAAGCCCACAATACCCGGGCCGCCACCTCGTCGCAGCTTTGGGGATTTCGTCGGAGGTCCGCTTTCCGCTTCTTAAATGAGGGTCGGAATCAGAAGTTCTTAAAAAGACTCTTGGATGTTCGTCGGTGTGTTGTTTTTCGGGAAATTTTATTTCGGGAGTTAGTTGAAATCTTAGATTTATGTTTCGGAAATATTTCCGGTTTTATAAAGTGGGATGGAAAAGTGAAGAGATAAGATTCTAGATGTTTTCTATCAAAGAAACTCAAAACTAGTATAATGATTAGTGTTTGTGGGGATATTAATTATCGTACGTTGTTCTTAATGATTCTTCTTTTTAAAAGTGCGGTCATAAAAGACGGGATAAGATAGATCTATTTTGCGTTATTTCTTCTTATATCATGTTAGGTTCATATGACGAATTTAAGAACTAAGAAGAGGACCGTTAGGGTTAATTCTTTCAAGTCATTGTTTTCTGTTTTTGTTCTTCTATTTGAAATGGATTTTCAAATTTATTAGCAAGAGAAAGAAAACTTATGTGTTTTGCGTTCATTGCAGCTTGTGTGATTCACTATGAACTTATATAAGCTTATGTAGTACATGACAACTCTTATCTACGAGATAGGATGGATGAAAACACTAATGTTTTCCCTTCAAATTATTTTAATCTAGAAGTTCTTTTTATCAGTTAAATTTGTAGTGCAATTTTGAAGCTTTGAAGGATTAACACATTTTGTTACATCCCCTACCAACTGAGTTATGTTCCTCTATATTTGTCAACACATCTCAAGATCTTTCATGGATTGCATCTATGCCTTCATTTTCAACATCATCTCTCAATTGGGGTATTCAAACTTTTAAGGTATACGGAGAGACTAAATCTACAACATGGTTCGTACTTATGTGCCCCGTTAGTCAAGCTATTATTTAATAAACTTTTGTCAGTTATTCGAGTTACGAGGCCTAGAAATTGGTGACCAATAGAATGCATTGAGCATGGTTCAAAGTTCAACAAATCAAAACTTCAAGATCTCCAAATATCGAATCCCACAATTGTCAAGCTATTATTTTATAAACTGAGAAAGACCCCCAATCTGCGGGTTGCCTCGTCGCAACCTGAGAAATTTTGTCAGAGGTCTGCTTTCCGCTTCTTAATTATGTGTTGGAATCAGAAGTTCTTAAAAACTCTTGGATGCTCGTCGGTGTGTCGTTTCTGGAAGGTAAATATTTTTGCTTTTATAAATTGAGGTGGAAAAGATAAATAGATAAGATTCGAGATTTTATTCTATATAAACCTCAAAACTAATATAGTGATTCACTGTGTGTGGATATTAATCATAGTCCATTATTCTTAATGATTCTTGATTTTAAAAGTGTGGTCAGAAAAGAACGGATAAAATATAAACATTTTGCGATATTTTTTCTTATAAAATATCCCAAAACTACTTTATTCTATTATAAAATTAGGGATCGGTTTGACTGATAAATATAAGAACTAAGAAAATGATCGGTAGGGGTAAATACTTTCAACACATTCACTTTTTTGGTTTTTTCTATTTAAAATGGATTTTCAAATTTATCAGCATGAGAAAGAAAACTTATGTGTTTTGTCTTCATTGCAACTTGTGTGATTCACTTATCTAAGCTTATGTAGTACAAGATAAGCTCTTATTTACGAGGTAGAGTGGATGGAACTACTAATGCTTTTCCTTCAAAATTCTCCCAATGTAAAAGTTATTTGCATCGATCATGTTTGTAACTTCGATTTTTGAAGCCTAAGACCACCGTTATTGGTGAGCTCTTATAAAAGACTTTTCTTTGCTTTTCTTAGCTTAAGAGCCACTAAACGCTCACCTATATCGATGCTCTAAGGTATAATGAGAGACTAAGACCTTAGCATGGTTCTTATGTGCCGTTAGTCAAGCTATTATTCAATAAACTTTCGTCAGTTTTTTTGAATTCCGAGGTAGCGAAATCATTGTTCAATAGATGCATGGTTCAAGAAATCAAAACTTCAAGATTCCCAAACATTAAATCAAAGTAAAAACATGAAGTATATCATGACTGTGGGCTAACCTAAGAATCCTAAAAGAGAAAGAAAACAAAATGTTCTAAGAAAAGATTTTGTCCGGGAAAAAGGAAAAGCCAAAGGTATATTGCTCATGGCAACAAAACCAGAAGATAACTAATATTGATACTAAGCAGCTTTTGGCTTAGGTGTCCTCTTCTTCACAAGCCTCTTGGATGGTGCCGAGTTCTTCATTCCAATAAAGAAGAGCAAAGCTCCAAAGAGTGCAACGCTCTGCAACAATATAAGGGAATGACATTTTATATCAATATACTACCCATTCCGATAGACGGATGATCTTGGCTTTAAAAAGACTGAGAGATTTAAGGTGTAAAGCTGTTAAAGTGCTGGACAAACCTGCAAGAACTCTGTCAACAGAAGAGAGAAATGACGTTCCTCAGGTCCGTAGTTATAGAAATCATACAGAATGGGACTGACTACAACCAAGTAGAAAGCCTGAAACAAACAGATATATCAGATTATGGGTAAACCCTTGGATCTCTTATTTGTAAACATGAGATGAACACAAGAAGAAGCCTAACCAGAAGATAAGCACCGAAGATGTTTCCGATAACAAAGAGTAAGCCTCCAGCTCCTTTCAACGCAATAATTGTAGTAACAACTTGTCTCACCTTTAAAAGAAATCATTCTATAGGTTATAAAAAGACACATATAGACAGTGGCCGCAAGAGAAACAAACATCATAACTGTGATCATTTACTCACCTCTATCTTGGGCAAAGCTACTCCTAATCTGGAAGATAGATGTGCCTTAGCCAAATCAAGCTTTGGAGCCAATTCTTTAGCTGCAGGACCACCATCAACTCCGAAGTCATTGAACCTATAAAAATTCCCCATATAAGCATAGTTCAAAATTTAGTAATATGGTAAAAAGAGGTAGAAGATATTTTGATTAGCTTCTTAAAACATATGGCAATCAAGTCAAGTAAACAAAACCATAGTAACGAATATTACTAAAAACTATCTTCGTTTAATGTTGGAATCATCTTCCATTTAGAGCTAATGATGCTTCTCTCTATAGACCATTATAACACTGGAACAACCAAACTAACAAACCATTTGGAAGATGAGCAATCTCATTGGATTGTGGAGTCCTCTATAAACGAATCATGTCGAATTAAGACAGAACAGTTCTATGTAACCTAATGTAGATCAACTATAACCAAACTAATACATAAAAATGCAAACTTTAAGTAATACGCAGTATCTAGAGATCACCAATTCAAACTCTGCAACACAAATCAATTAGTATAAGAGATCCAGATCGAAACCGTAACAAGTACCCAAAAAATCAAAGCTTTGATAGATTCAGCTTCAGCAGCTCGATTTCACAAAACCCTAGAAATAATAAAAAGAGTCTAACAAAGCTTCTCAATTCCTATATTAGATCTAGCACGAAGCGATTTCATTGTAAGATAAATCAAAGAACAGAACCCAAATCCTAAATCGAGAAACAGATCGAGAAGGAGAACCAATGAATGAAGAAACCCAAAAAAGAAGAAACTCACATTTGCCAAGCGGAGAGGATGAAGAGAGAAGCGAAGAGAACTCTTCCGAGAAAGGAGAAGAAACCCATCTCTCTGATTTTGCTTACAAGTTTTGTCTGAAGGAGACGGAGAGGAGTCTTCTTGTTCGGCTGGAGGAGGAGGAGGAGGAAGAGAGAGAGTTTGGTTTTTTTGGTTTTGGTTTATTTATTTGACATTTAAAATAAAATTTTAAAAAAGAACATTATCGAAATTAATGATTTTTTTTAATTTTTTAACTCCCAACTAAAAACTGTACTCCACGATCTATTATTTCGATTCGTCTCTCCAAATTTTTAACTTGGAAACTATACTTTATTAATATTTTGTAGAATCTACAAATTTATAGTAATATATGTAGAATATAGTTTACATATGAGACAAAATAATGGGTAAACTTTTTTTAAAAAATCGGATATTTGTATATCTGGTTTAATTGATTTGAAAAGGTACTATTCGAGAGAAGTTTACAATTAAAATCATATTTATAACAATAATTCTATTTTACCAGTCTACGAATTATCAAATTTTGCAATTCTTAATAAGAGTCCATAAAATTTTTATTTTTATTCAAAATTTTAAAATAAATCACATTTTCTAGCTTTAGAAAATATTAATAACTGCAATTTTTTTATTTCTTAATGGGAATTTTTTTAAAAAAATACTTCATTTATTTTTTTAATTGGATGTTTAACACTTTGTTTTTCTTTGTTGGAGTAAAATATCTCATTAACTATATTCTTCATAGAAAATATTCGTTAATAAATTTCTATCTACGAGTTAACAGTCATTTATAGGAAAATATACTCTTTTAACAATGTAAAATTTTAACTTACAAATTTAAATCATATATGCGATTTGGTTACAAATTTTATGATTGAATTATTTTGGTCTAGTGGTAACAAGTTAATAATAAAATTATTATATGATCGGTAGATTATGAATTTGATCCTCATTCTAATCTTTTATTTATATCTAAGTAAGCATCACCTAAAACATAAAGAGTTCTGAGCGAACCAGTAGATAAGGTATCCACTCCAAAAACGATAGCAACATCACTCGTTGAAGTCCAAGATTTCTTAATCCACCAACTTTTGGGTACGGGTGCTATTATGACCATAAAAATAAACGAAGGAATCGCAGCTTGAATTGAATCTATCAGTTTGTTTCTTGGATACAGAATAAATTTATGAGAGTGAGAACACAAATTGCACAAATATGTTAGAATTTATCTATTATGGACACTAACAAGATTTTTCACATTTTTTATATTTGTGTTTAATTATATTTTTGAGGATATTTTACTATAAACTATAACCAATCTAAATTTTTATTCAAAAAGTACAATCAATATTTATTTTTTTGGTCAAAAATACCACTAAAAATGTTTTAGTCCAAAAAAAACACCACAAACACACAAAAAATATGTTTTTAAGGGTATATAATTTAATAGTTTGGGTTTTGGGTTAAGTATTTTATGTTTGGGGTTCAGATTTGAAAATTCTAAACTTTAATTTCAGTTTTTTTCTATTTTAAAAATTCTAAACTTTTAGTGGTACCTTGAGAAAAAAAAAACTTTTGATAGTATTTTTGGGATAAAAACTCACTTTAGTGGTATCTTTAAAATTTTCCCATATTTCAAGGTAAAATACTATTTCTCAAATTGAATTTATAAATTATACATCAATTTGGAAATAGGAACTTATATCAAATTACAAGGATCCAATTGATAGATAAGAAAAATGCATAACTTTTTCTAACTGAATTAATATCAAATCTCTAGGCTTGACGAAAAAAAAATATCAAATATCAAATCTTCAATTGAATCTTGAATATGACTTTTTTTTAAACGCTTTATATAACTAAAAACATATTAAACTGTTCAAAAAATATCTATATTATATTTGAAAATTATAAAACTAAACATATTCTTCATTCCCTTTTCTTTTAATTTCGTCCGACATTTTCTTTATTCGATACTATTTAAAGATCCATACAAATGTAGGTACAACCAACAAAACGGTACTGAATAAGAAATATAAACTCGATCTACTTTTGTTCAAAAAAAAAAAACTCGATCTACTTCATATAGTTCCAGTTATGTAATTAATATATGTAACTAGGGCGTCACTTGGGGATGTAGCTCAGATGGTAGAGCGCTCGCTTAGCATGCGAGAGGTACGGGGATCGATACCCCGCATCTCCATTTTTTCTCTTCTTCTTTTTCTAATTTTGTCGGGATCTCCAAAAGTCACTACACAACACGTGTCTCTCAATCACCAAGTCCACCAAACAAAGATAGAACACACTCCAACACTTTACTTTTGTCTTAAATCATTGAATCTCAAGAAAAGAAAAAAAAACATGACAGAGAAAACTGAAACAACCGATCTCACGAGTGGAGTGAAAGGACTCGTCGACGCCGAAATAACCAAAGTTCCACGAATCTTTCATTTCCCTTCTTCAACGGTATCAAACAATAGACCTGATTATGATATCTCCGGCTTAAACCTCACCGTCCCAATCATCGACCTCGGAGAAGTCAACAACTATGAACCATCAGCGAGAAACGTCGTCGTTTCGGAGATCAAAGACGCGATTGAGAAGTGGGGATTTTTCCAAGTGATCAACCATGGTGTTCCTTTAACTGTTCTTGAAGATATCAAAGAAGGAGTTCGAAAGTTTCACGAAGATGATCCAAAGGTTAAGAATCAGTATCTTCCTAACGGATTCAAGAAGAGCTTTGTTTATAATAATCATTTCGATCTCTATCGTTCTGCTCCTATGAATTGGAAAGACTCTTTCACTTGTTTCTTAGCTCCAGATCCTCTAAATCCAGAGGAGATTCCACTAGCTTGCAGGTTAAATTTTTTGATTAGCTACTTCAAACATTTTTCTTTATAATAGTATAATATATGATGATTTTTAATTAGGAGTGTTGTGATTGAATACACGAAGCATGTAATGGAATTGGGAGATTTGCTCTTCCAACTTCTCTCAGAAGCTTTAGGTTTGGACTCTGAGTTCTTAAAGAGGATGGATTGTCTTAAGGGTTTGTTCATGCTTTGCCATTACTACCCACCTTGTCCGCAACCTGACCTAACTTTGGGCATAAGTCAACATACCGATAGCTCTTTTCTCACGCTTCTTCTTCAAAACCAAATAGGTGGCCTTCAAGTTCTCCATCAAGATTATTGGGTTGATGTCCCTCCTGTTCCTGGAGCTCTTGTCGTCAACATTGGTGATTTCATGCAGGCAAGTCCAGTTTAACTGGAAAAAAGCAGTCTTTACAGATATGTATTTGAGACATTTTTGTTTTGCAGCTGATAACGAACGAAAAGTTCTTGAGTGTGAGACATAGGGTACGAGCGAACAGAGATGGACCGCGGATTTCTATTGCGTGTTTCTTTAGCTCAAGTCTGTCTCCAAATTCCACGGTTTATGGACCGATGAAAGAGTTGTTGTCTGATGAAAACCCTCCAAAGTACAAAGATATCACCATACCAGAGTACACGGCAGGATACCTTGCGAATCTCTTTGATTATAAGCCATATTTGTCTAACTTTAGGATATGAAGAGAAGACTTGTCCTCCGACTTAGTGTGAAAGATTGATATTTGTGTCTTATGCATTGTGTGTCCAGAACGATTACAATAAGCTTGTATTATCAGGAGGACCATTGTAATATCCAACATTCACATTCAGATTAGTATCCGTAGAAACACCATAATAGCTAGTAGTAACAGCTTAAGAAGGACCAAGATTCTGAAAACCCACATTCCCAAGCTTAGTAGTTACTATTAAGGCAGTGAGGTCTCAAAGATCGAAGAGGAAGCAACTAACCTTGTCGCAGTGTTGTGAAGGATATGAGAAACACTTAAGATTTTTATAAGAATTAATGACTCTCTTACAACCATATTTATAGAATGATGTCTTAGGCTGCAAGTAATGTTGAAGCTTATCCAACAAAGGAAGCTCCAATCTTGTGACTAAGGCTGAGAATCCGAGGTGATAGCTCAAAGAATCAAACAGTCTAAGGTGAGGCTCAAAGAAGAAAGCTCACCCGAAAGAGGGAGCTAAACGCCGGTTGAAGTGAATCGACAGAAGGCGAGGAAGAAGAAGCGATGGGATTCAAAATCCCTATATTTGAAATTGGGAGTTTCAATCAAGAATCTAAGAAGGAGTGTTGGAATTGGTTCCTTAATCGAACATGCAACAAGCCAACAACGAGAAGAGATCAGTGGGCAATCAAAGAAGAGATTCAAGTGAAGATGAAGAAGTTGTCGTGATGAACGTCAAACGACAGAGAAGAAGAGGACCAAAGGAAGTTGGGCTTGTGTTTTGTAATAATTAATTACTTTAATCGAATTAAGACAATGACATCACTTGTGTAATAGTAACTATAAGAGCTCTGTTTCGACTTCATAAGTATAAAGAGCTAGAGGAAAGCTGTTTAACTCATCACGATCATTGTGATTCTCCACATATCTTTAGTACTTATAGTAAAAAAAAAAGTATCTAGGCAAAGAGCAAATAGACTTTTCACTGTTTACTATTTACAAACACCTTAGCAAGTAGTCATCACATTTCATAACATAGGAAGAAACAAATTAATTTATTCAATGAGACCAAAAAAAAAAAAAAAAAAGAGTATTCGAAAGACCTAAACTAGGCTTTGAAAGATGTGTTTGCTCATTATATTATCCTCTTGCTTGGTTCGCGTTATACATACAACAAGTCTCAACATGTTTAGGTCATATCGACGTTTTCTAGAATGGTTTTTCGCCTCCCGGATTTTGTTTGAGTTGCATTGAACTTGGAACATAAGGGCACAACAAATGTAAAGATCAGTACAAATGTAGGCACATCCGCACATGGCACAACCAAGTGACTCGTATAGTTTATTTATTTGACAGAAGTATTAAACCTTTGTTATAGTTTAAAAGAGTTACTATTAACTCACAAATGGGGATGTAGCTCAGATGGTAGAGCGCTCGCTTAGCATGCGAGAGGTACGGGGATCGATACCCCGCATCTCCATTTCTTTTGTTTCTTTTCTTGTCGATCGGTTATCTCCAAAAGTCAATTTTAATCCTTTGAATTCTATGCACAAATTACACAACACGTCGCTCTCAAACAAAGACACTTATCTTTACTTCTGTCTTAAATCATTGAATCTTCCTATCGACCAAAAAAAAAAAAAAATCATGGCAGACGAAACATACCTCACGAGTGGTGTAAAAGGACTCGTCGACGGCGATATAACCGAAGTTCCTCAAATCTTCCATGTCCCTTCTTCAATCTTATCTAACAACAGACCTGATGATACCTCCGGCTTAAACCTCACCGTCCCAATCATCGACCTCGGAGAAGTCAACAACGATGACAAATCAGCGAGAAACGTCGTCGTTTCAAAGATCAAAGACGCAGCTGAGAAGTGGGGATTTTTCCAAGTGATCAACCATGGTGTTCCTTTAACTGTTCTTGAAGATATCAAAGAAGGGGTGCGAAAGTTTCATGAAGAAGATCCAAAAGTGAAGAACCAGTATCTTGCTACGGACATAAACAAGAGATTTGTTTATAACAATAATTACGATATACATCAGTTGCATTGGAGAGACTCTTTCACTTGTTACATATCTCCAGATCCTCCAAATCCTGATGAGATTCCAGTAGCGTGCAGGTATATATCTATTGTGAATCTTGTGATTAGTTTACTTCAACTGATTCCACTAAATTTGATTTGAAGTGAAAAAAAGATCTATTAATTAGTAAAATATATGATGATTTTAATTAGGGGTGCTGTGATTGAATACTCGAAGCATGTAATGGAATTGGGAGATTTGCTTTTCCAACTTCTCTCTGAAGCTTTAGGTTTGGACTCTGAGGTCTTGATGAGAATGGATTGTCTTAAGGGTTTGTTCATGCTCTGCCATTACTATCCACCTTGCCCTCAACCTGACCTAACTTTGGGCATAAGTAAACACACCGATAACTCTTTCCTCACGCTTCTTCTTCAAGACCAAGTCGGTGGTCTTCAAGTTCTCCATCAAGATTATTGGGTCGATGTACCTCCTGTTCCTGGAGCACTTGTTGTCAACATTGGTGATTTCATGCAGGCAAGTCTAGTTGATGCATTCTTGTAACTCAAAAAAACAGTCTTTACTTATACATTTGAGACATTTTTTGTTTTGCAGCTAATAACAAACGATAAGTTCTTGAGTCTGGAGCATAGAGTACGAGTGAATAGAGATAAACCGCGGATTTCTATTGCGTGTTTCTTTAGCTCAAGTCTTTCTCCAAATTCGACGGTTTATGGACCGATAAAAGAGCTTTTGTCCGATGAAAACCCTCCAAAGTACAAAGACATCACCATACCGGAGTACACAGCAGGATACCTTGCTAACCTGTTTGATGGGGAGTCATATTTGTCTAATTTCAGGATATGAAGAGAAGACTTGTCCGACTTAGTTAGTGAATATATGATGGATATTTGTGTGTTATGCATATGTTAAGCTACTATGTTCCACTCCTCATGGGGATTCAAAACTATTTTAGTTAAAATCCTAAAGTATATCCTAATGGGTTGCAATAAGCAAGAAGAACTTTTTAAAAATCGGAAATAGAAAAATTATTGTTTGTTAAAATCCTAATGGCTAACAAAATATATATATATAAACTACTATAAATACTTCTCATTCACATCAAGAATGAACTCAAGGCTTTGGTGTCGACAAAAGGAGTAAAAGGACTCGTAGATGCCGAAATAATCGAAGTTCCTCAAATCTTCCATGTCCCTTCTTCTACTATACCTAACAACAAACATGAGATGGTGATTTCTGGAGTCATTTTCGTCAACTCTGGTAAGCAATCCTAGTTGAAGAATTTTTCAAAACTCTATAAAGAGTCTTCTATAATAAGTTATAAACATTTCTTGTTTTGGAGCATAGGATACGAGCGAACAGAGATGGACTAAAAACTACTGTATTAACTTCCAAGGCAATGTACCTAAAGAAGAAAGGATCAAACCTATAGGTTTCTCTGATTGTGATAAGATAAGGTTTCTCTTTTCAAATTTCATTAGCTTCGTTTTTGAGCTCATCTACCCTCTTCAGAGGCTCCGTGACTTCCATTAACTCTATGCCGCGCATGATCTAATGTATACTTTCAGATCTTATAACGCCATTTTCTTAATAAGCTTCGGGATCACTTTCATTAAGGTGTGTAGCATATATTGGGTTGCTCAGCTTCAAATAAGTTCTGTTTTGCAAGATCACATAATAGTACTTCCCACACATAATGCTAATGCAAGAAGATCATGTAAGAATGGGATATCATGACCATTGTTGACCTCATCAGACGCTTAAGAGAATAAAACAGATACATGTGTGTACTTTTACATTCAAGGTAACTTACTGAACAGAACGATTCACATTTGATTTATTTATTTACTTCCACTTTATGCCTTCACAAAGCAATGATGATCAAAGTCTATTAGCAGATTGGGATAAAGAGATATACGTACAAGGTTCTTCCTTCAAACTACATGAGCTTCATTTCTGAGCTTCTCAATCAACTCATCTACTGAAGAAACCATAACCCCCGATTTCCTCTTTGGAGGCTCCGTGACTTCCAAGATCTCTATGTCAGATTTAATGTCAACCTTCAGGTCTTGCACCGTCATTTTCTTTATAGGCTTTGATTTCGCTTTCATTATGTTAGGAAGTGATGCATATCTTGGTTGGTTCAGCCTCAAATCAGTTCTGCATTGTTAACATCAAAAGCTGTCAAATTCTCAACGAGAGTTGTTGCACCTTTCTACTAAAACTAAATGCTAGTTTGCTTGATAATTTGTGAGATCACACAACGAATTCCACATAGAATGCAGTTAAGATGAACCAATCCGATTAACTGAAACATTTACAGGTTAGGTTAGCTGATGCATTATACATTTAAACCTCAACTCGGGAGAGATCATGACATCACACAATCATGTAAGAATCTAGAACTTACGTAATTACGGCTGGTAAGTCAACACAAAGGGTTTCAAGACCTCCATCTACTTCTCTATCTACAGTTGCAACATGTTTCTCTTTATCCAACACAACCTACTAAACAACAATGAGTAGCACATAAAAAAATCATAACTCGGAGAGCATACATAAAAGATAACATATGATCTGAAAGCTTTCAAAGGCACTACTCATTACCTTCGATGCAAAGGTTGCTTGTGGCCAACCAAGCAAAGCTGCAACCATTTGTCCTGTTTGATTACAGTCATCATCTATTGCCTGCAGAAAAGGTATATGTCAACAAAATTTACCTCAAACTTCATACAAACATTTTAAAAGCATGTTAGATAGTTTTCAAGAATTTACAAAGGTCAATGTTCATCATCTTAACCAATTCACAACTCAAGTAATATGTTATAAGCATAAATGATGAGTCAAATACGAATCTTTTGCCTTCTGTAAACTGAAAAATCTCAACTTTAGCTAAGATTCAGTTCACTATCCAATCAAATTAGAGACCAAAGTTCAAAACTTGTCAAGCAAATCAGTTAAGCAATAAACTTTACATCAAACTTCATCCGAATATTAAGCAAGTCCAACATCTTTGAAAGCATTTTAGATAGTTTTCAAGAATTCACAAAGATCAATGTTCATCATCTTAACCGATTCACAACTCAAGAAAGATCAACTATTATAACCATAAATGATGAGTCAAATACGAATCTTTTTCCCTTCTAAACCCTGAAAGACCTCAACTTTAGCTAATAAAAGCTGTTCTCCCTCGCTTTGTGCTTATCCCAACAAGATTCAGCTCATTACATCCAAATTCGTGACCAAAGACCAAAACTTGTAAATCAAATCAGAGCCAGAAAGTACCTGTTTTCCTAGAAAAATCAATTCAGGATTCTCAACTTCAGCAATACTCTTCAAGATCTTAGCAATCGTCAAAGGTAGGAAACTAGAACTAGTCTCAACATGGATACCTCGATCCGCACCCATAGCTAAACCAGTACGAAGCGTATCAACACACTGTGAAGGTCCAATACTCACTGCAACGACCTCTTTAGCAAAACCCGCTTCTTTGATTCGAAGCGCTTCCTCAAGCGCGATCTCACAGAAGGGATTCATCGACATCTTCACATTTTGAGTATCTACACCAGTCTGATGATTACAACGATAAAGGAATCAACTTTACCGGTGATTCAACGGATACGAAGAGATTCAGAGATGGGTTTTGAGAATACCTTATCGGGTTTGACACGGATCTTGACGGCGTAGTCGACGACACGCTTAACGGCGACGAGTATCTTCATCGTCCGGTGACAGCAAAAAATGAAGCAGAAGCAAATTTTGATTTTTGGATCTAAGGATTATTCGGGTTTCTTTTCCGGTTAAATCCGGTTTAGGCCGAAAAATATAAAGATTTGATTATTGTATGGGTGGGGTAATTGGAAGAGATCCATATATGGCCATATGGGTGACCTATAATGGGCCTTAATTGGCTAGAATCAATTATTTAACCAACAAGATTATGTTAAAGAATAAACTTAAGAATGTTTAAATGATGTGACATAGGTTTATTATAAAATGGATTTATCATTTTAATAAAGAGGGGGTATTTTGTTTTTGAGAAATTGCCTCCAATACTACATTTTATGCTTCTTTTTTTTTTCCCAAAAATACCACAATTTGTTTTTTTTCTAAAAATACCACAATTTGTTTTTTTTTTCAAAAAATACCACATTTTGTTTTTTTTTCAAAAATACCACAAAAAATATTTTTCTAATATACCATAAACATAAAAAAATGATTTTTGAAGGTGATGTTTTTTTAATGTTTGGGTCAACTAGTTATATTTAGAGTATTTTTATAGGTGGGGCTTAATTTTTAGAATTTAGAAATCAATTTTTAATATAAAAAATATAGATTAAGTTTTATGGTATTTATGAAAGAAAATAAAATTTAATGGTACTTTTGAAAAATAAAACTTATCATGGTAGTTTTGGAAAATAATATACATTTCAGTGTTATTTATAAAAAATTTCATTTGTTTTTTTTTCTTTAACACCAAAAACTTAATACTGAAAAATCTAATTGTTTCGAAAATATTAATTAATCATATGTCTAATAGTGATTGGGCATATAAAAACTTACGGCTTTCACTTGATTTATCATATTTTTTTCTAGGTTTCAAAGAAGTCTCATAATTAGAACGATGACGGAAGCTACCCCGGTGATACAGACCGCTACGCCGGACGAGGCCGCTTCTAGAACATGGGTCTTTTGGGACATCAAAAGTTTCCCACTTCCTCATGGCTTTGATCCACGTCGGGTCCATCAATGCATCAAACGCTTCCTGAACAATTATGGCTACAATGGTCCTCTCACCATCTACGCCTTTGGTATAGTAACAGACCTCCATGAAGACATCCTTCGAGCTCTCTCTTCCACTGGAATCATTCTTTATTACGATCCTTACGGTTACTATATAGTATATCTTCTCATCCAAATATCTTCCTTCTGCTGATAACTCAATTGGTAAAGATTTTTGGCAAAAGCTTAGAGGTCGCCGGTTCGCTTGGGACAAAACCATATACCATCAAAACCTCTTACCAAAATTTAGTGTTATCTGTTTCATCAAAACCTCTTACCAAAATTTTCCCTTTCTCACTTGTGTAGAAGCCTACCCGGGAGGAGGCTGCGGCTGTAACATTGGTCTTTTGGGACATCAATATGTTTCCGGTTCCCTCGAGCTTCAACCATTGAACGGTTTTTAGAGCTACATGGCTACTTTGGTCATCTCATCATCAACGCCGTTGGCACACTAACAGATGTCCCTTCTTACATCCTTGAAGGACTCTCTTCCACTGGAATCAATCTTTATCACTCCCCCAATGGTTAGTATATATCTTCTCATCCTCATGCCTTTTTATGGTAATAGATGATGAATACACACAGTCTCAAGTCTTTAGTTTTGTCCTGATAAACAGGTAACTCAGACATCATGTTTCTTATGTCTCAGTGGATTACTAAGAAACAACCCCTAGCTAATATTTTGGGCATATGTGATCCGAGAGGCTTCCCTTTACCTTTAACTGGATACAACATTTTCAGGCCGTTTCCCTATAATTACCTTGAAGAAGACGCCTTCCTTTGGGAAAGCTATCTTCTGGCAGGTGTGTGTGTTTTGTCCTCTCTCTCACCGTGTTTTCGAAATAACCAACAGTTCTGTTCTTGAACTATCTACTTTTATTTCTCCGACAGTGTCAATGACAATTAAGGAGGATATGTTCAGTGAAACGAGTGAAACTTCCAGGTGGTTTTGCTTAACATGTAACCAAAGGAGTAAAGGCTTTGAAAGTTTCACCAGGCATCTCTCTGGTCGAAAGCATTCTTCTAAGAAACGGAGGACGTGAAGAACAAGAGATGCATATTCTTGAAATCAAGACAGATGCGACCTAGTCCTAGACCTAGCCTACACCGACAAGCAATGAAGCAACTCAAACAATAGTAAATATATTTTCTTGCGATAAAGTTTGAACCTTCCTCTAAACTGGTTTATTCTGTGTGAACCCTACTCGCACACCTCATTGAAGTTTTTTTTTTTTTTTCTTTGGTTCAAAATAAAGTTTTGTGAGTTTTTTCAAACTTATAAAGTCCAATAATTTCTGTTCTGTCATACATACAACTCAAACCTTTTTTGACTTCTAAATCTAGACACACCTATATGTCTTGCCTACCTCACCGACCAAATAATAAAAAATCTCTAATCTCAAAAATACTGAAAATATAAAATAATAAAAAAACAAATGTAGAAAGAAACAAAGAAAATAAAAACAAATAAGCAAAGCCGTCCATTACGGTTCAAAATAAAGAGGCAATATAGACGAACTTCTAGAACGCCTACTGCTCCCAAACGAGAAGAAAGATCTCTTCACTTTGTTGTTACTAACATTGCTACTACTGCTACATCCTCCTCCGTCTCCGGCCACCGGAACTTCCCGGTTCTTCCGAATCGCCTCTTGAACCGACAGGTAAAGTTGTCGATCGGCTGATGAATCCATTGACATTGATCTTCTAATGGGCTGAATACTACCAAACTGATCATCTATTCCTCTTCTTGTGTCGATACACTCGTCTCCCATACTTGTCATCTTCTGAAGCTTTCGGAATTTTCTCGGAAGCCCTCCGCGGTCAAGCTTCTTCGGAGATGGACTGATCTGATTTTGTGCTTCTTCGGTCAGTAGGTGACCTGAGTTTGACCTTTCTTGTTCCATAAGTAACCTTCTGTTTCTTGGACTATCTCTGTTACTAGCAATGCTATTTCCCATCTCAATGATCACATACTCGTTCTCACCACCTCTTAAGACGATCGGGTTCTCGGGAGAAGTGCTCGGCGCAGAAACCCGATCGGGTGGGAAACTTGTGTCAGAAGAAACCCTAGCTCTACACAAAGGGCAATTGGCATAGTTCTGAAGCCAAACATCGATACAATCGATATGAAACAAATGAGAACAATTTGGTATAATCCTCAACTTCTCCTCATCTTGAAACTCATTCAAACAAACAGAGCATTCTTGACAACTCTTCTCTTCTTCTTCCCCTCTAAAAACGCCGTCGTTTTGGTCATCTCTCTTCTTGAATTTAAAGATTGGGATTGCTCTAATGACAGATTCATCAAGACCGCGGTTTCTCAACTCCGGAGAGTAAACCATCAAAGGATCTTGGTTGTTGTGTCGCCGTCGAGACAAAGAGAACCGTCGAAGAATGTCGATTCTGTGCCAATTCAGACAACATTTGATAACGAAAACATAATAGCTTACAAGTAAGAATGCTGTGGCCAAGATTCCGATCACCGCAACGGCTAAGATCGGGAAACTTGTCCCTGTCGAACTCGCACGGTGAAATATAGGTGGCGGTGGTGGTGGCGGCGGTGAAAAGCTTAGATCCCGGAGGAGGTTGTGACGGCTTGATAGATCCATTTGACTTAACTATATGAACAAGCTCATCCTCTAATGGAGAATGAAAGAGTTAACAACTCTGAAAGATCTTGAAGAATCAAGAAAGAGAGAAAGAGAGAGAGAGAGAGAGATTGGTTGAGAGAAGGAAACAGAGATGGAGTAAAATGAAAGTTCGGTGAGATTTCTCATTTCTTGGCTCTTTATATTTGAGTATATTAATATATATTTTCTTGATCGGTGTGACTCGTTTACTGTAAGTTTTATATTTATTTTAAATAAAAATCTAAATTGTTATTTAATTTTAATAGTGAATTTGATTGGTTGGGAAAATTTAAGATTTGTTTGTTTGTTTGTTTATGTACTAGTGGTGGGGGACTTTTTTTATTTAAGATAAATTAAAAACCTGACATATATTCGCAATTAACTATGAATTTTATAATTTTGTTTGCATTAATTGTGATGATTATTATATCATTTTGATATGCATATTGGTATTGGAGTGGTGTTGCTTTTGATAATTATTTATAATTTGTTTTGATTTTGATATTGTGATAGTGAAAGTTTGTCTAAGTAGATAGAATTGTAATGATGTTATAATATATTTTACTTAAGCATACCATTAGCAAAAGGAAAATTATGGATAAAGACCATTTAGGAATATGATTAATCGATGTATTTTTTATTTATGAATATGATTTATGATCTAACCATGATTGTCGGTAGCTTTTATTTATAATTACTTTTAGACTGTTGTAGTAATGAGGTTCTTGATTATATAATCCTTTAAGTTTAAGATGAATCCCACATACACACCGTATATGATTTTGCAATATCAATATATATATATATATATATATATATATATATATATATTAATAGATTAAGTGTATAGGTCTTTTCCATAATTAAGTAAATTTAAACCTTACAGAAAAAATTAAGTAATTTTAATTGTAATGTTTATGTTTAAGCCCCTAGAATTGTTTTAACCATCTCCAATGATTACAATCTCATTAGAGATTTTAAACGTTCTTTAACATAAATTTTGTTTTTCTCAAATCTAAGAATCTATATAAGAGTTCTTAAATTTTTTTACCTCCGATGGTTAGACCATCTTTAATGGTAATATCTTCTTATCTTAAATACATAATTAAATTAAATGGGAAATGTGTTTTATTACTAAGAAAGTCTCTTAACTGTACCTATGTTAGTAATTAGTTATATCATTTTATATATTTATATATTTATCATTTTATTATTGCATATGTTAGTCTTTTCTTATTATTTATTGAAATATAAAGTTCAAATCATCACTTCACATAAAACAAAACTTTTTTTAACTAAAACATCTCTTAAAAGGAACCGGAAAAATACTAATTTTAACCCATACGATTTAAGTTTCTTGCATCCAAAAAATAAAATAAAACAATCTTAAATGGTGAGAGTGGTTAGTTGTGTTTTATTTCAACATCATGAGAATAATTAACCATCCAATTCTAGTTTGAAATAAGAACTGTAAAATAGGTAAACTAGTAAAATTAAACGTTTAATGTGACAAAGATGGTTTGGAGAGATTTCTTTTTAAATTATAGTTTTTGGCTTTTGGATTATCGATTTGGTTTACGGTTTTTAGTTTTTGTGTTAAAATATTTTTAATACTAAAAATAGAAAAGAAAAATTTATTCATGTTAACAAAAATGAAAAACTGATAAAAATGAATTTTAAATTTTCTGTGCAAATTATCAAAGACCAGCAAAATCTAGATTTCCTACTTTTTAGGAAAATCAATTTTCTCATAATCTTGATTGAACATAAAATAGCTTTTTGTAAAAGCTAAAACCAAAATCAACAATCATTCGAGGTCTTAGTAGAGTAACAAAATTCTAACGAGATAAAAGATGGTTTGAAAAGATTTAGTAGAGTAACACTAGGATTTTTAGAAAAATCTTATAAAATAAATTTGAGGCGTAGATTAATGATTGGAAACATTTAAAAATAAAAAGGTTCTATAGAGTAGGACTTTTATAACACGTCCATTTCCAGTCAAACATAGAATAATCATTGCTAATTACAGATTTAATAAAATAAGAAAATACAAAAAGTAAACTTAGCCCACATGCATTCCACAATACATATGTACATATATTCACATAATAGCTTATATATATTTCATATTTAAAACTGCGTAGTTAAGCAAATGAGAATGCAATTTTGTAAAAGTCAACACTGATCACCTAATTTTTAATTTAAAACGGCTTTATCCGTTCAAACATACATAACTATTTGGTACACACACATAATGATATACTTACTCAAGACCCAAAGCAAATTTAGCTAATCAATCATAAATTATGAATTCAGCAATTTTTGGTATCTATATCAAAGTTGAGTTGAGATGTCATGCAACCAATAACAAGAACATTAATATTTTGAGATATCTTACAACCAAAGAACTCTAATATATGGTTGAATGATATCTCAACTCCATTGAAACCTTGATGTAACCAAGACAACTCTCTCTACCGCAACCTAAAAAATGACATTCTTGAAAACCCAATGATCAAAATGACAAAGTAATATGTAGTTTATTGCTTTGTACTCGTTCAATTACAACTATGACTCCAAAAGGTAACCATACCGCACTACAAAACCGTACCGCAACAGTACCGTAACAGTGTCAAAATATATGCATATACATATATATTTATGTATTTTCGTTATTATTTGAACTGTATCGCACTTCTCCCGATGTAAAAAACGCCGTTACCATTCGAAGCCTATATATAGTATTATAGTGTATTTTTGGGGTTAAAGTTTCTGATTTAGGGTTAAAAGTTACTAATAATTGAGTTACAAAATTATTATGTTTGGAGGTTAAATCATTTGTTGTATATGTCACATAATAATCTAAACATTGGATACTATAACTTTTAAGAAACAAACATTATAGAAATTATTTTTTCTTTCGTTCAAATAATTACTGCAATGATGGAACGATGTGAAAACCATCCAAGTAACTTTCATGGTGGGGTTAGAAAAGAGAAGACTACAAAATTGTCTAATTCTTAAGAGAAGAAAAAACTCGAAGAAAAGTCAAAAATCATACGTACAAATCCAAAAATATTCATTTCCCTTTTTTTGATTTCACCTTATTTTCTATTAAATTCACCACAAAAAAAAAGCAAAATAATAATAATAAATAATAATGAAATAGAATATGGACCGACACTGTTTCCATAGCCAATCGTGTGTGTATGTTGACGAGTTTGACACATAATAGTGCCGCGATTTATGTAATTATATTTATATTTATAAATTATTTTCACATATAAAATTGAAAAAAAAAATTGATGCCCTACCACTACTTTTAAAAAATGAAATGTCACAGAAATTAAAAGTTTTAAACTTTTGATTATATAAATAAGTAATTTGGCATCAGAATCTTGGATTTGTTCGTTTCACACTAGTCAAGAATTGTCAAATATATCATTTAAGGAAATCCAAATACTAGTCTGATTATTTCTGGTATTAGTCGGAAAACATGACTATCTCTTATATTAGTTAGAAAACACTCTAAATTCAAGACATAATAAGTATTTTAATTTGGTGTATTTCAACTTCGAATGACCAACTCCGCCAATAAAAGTGTATAAAAAAATTTTGAAGCTGGAGTTTTTAAAATAATGAAAATGTTTCTTTATTTCTATAATTGTGCATGACTCCTTCACATAAGCACTTGCGCAGAAGAAGGTTCTCCAATAAGTAGGGTAAGCTGTTTCAACTATATTTGGAATTATAAACTAAGAAATTTCTGCAAACTTATATAGCTACTGTCAGAGAATACGTAATAAATTACTTACACATGGATCATAAAATGAATTTTTCATTTTGAGTGGGTTTAAGATTTAGCAAATTTTTATTATCTTCGTTATTTTTTTGTTATTATTCCGGACATGGGAAAATAAAAGTTCTAATTGAGCAAATGAGCAAGGACAAAACTTAGTTGAGATTTCAAACTGAATCAATAAGTCTTTTGACTTTAACTACATTTCACTTTAGCTACAAAATTGACTTTGACTTGGATACTTTTATACACATTCATGATTCAACGACTTACTTATACACGTTTCGTTTGGTGTTTATTATACGTCATGTGTAGGGATGTTATTATGGACAGTTGTCCGTTGGACATAAATGAGCCTTCACAAAATTTTGAGCCCGTTTAATGTCCGTGTCCGTTATAAAATTTATCGGACATTAATGGACAAATCTGTTTATGTCCGTTTAATAAATGGGTTTTAACAAAATTAGATGGACATTCCATTGGTGTGGATATATAGGATCAGCTTCACGTGATCATTGGTGTGGCTGGTCACTTGAGTCCAGATCAATATACACATGAAAATATCGCAGGTAAGTTGTTACATTAATCTTATTAAATAAGATTGGGATTAGTATATAAGTATAAAAATCTAAAACTCTAAGCTGGTCAACTAGTAACATGTGTCGTCACGTGATGAGAAAGTGAGAGAAGATCATCTCTTGATTACTCTTTCTAATTTGTCTATTGCAGTTTTGTTTTGTACATTACTCTTACACAAGTTTTAAATATTATTTCGACTTATTAAATTGAATGTATTAATGTATTGATAAAGGGTATAATTATAATCTAAATATATTTACTATGTTTAACTTCTAAGTGACACTTAAGCATATGTAATATCTCTCTATTAATTTTAAATAGGAAAGGGAAACTATAATGCAGGGACACAAATAAAAGAAAAATTAAATATCTAATGCCCATAAAATTTTATTTAGCTCATATTTTTACAGACTTTTTTCTCCCTATAGCTATGTAGTTCACATTTCTCTCTCATAATTTTTCTAACTCTTCTTTCTCTCTCTCGTTCTATCCCCATCTTTCTCTCTCTTTCTACCCATCATCCAATATCTCTCTTTAAAAATAATGTTGTAAAAGTCATCTAAAGAATTAAGTAGACTGATCAGAGAATGTGTTGTGTTTTTCTTAAGTCTAACAAAAGCATATTCCATATTGTCTCAAATAAGAAAAAAACTAAAACAAAATCCATTAAAAATGTAAGAGACAAATATTTAAATTGTTCTCATTCTCTGTATCTTAAGAAAATCTATTCCTTGTAACGGTAAATCAACCGCCGTTAT